CAAAGGCCCTCCGTTCTAGGCAGACAACTAGGCAGGGCAGTAGCATGGTAAATAGGGAGGGGTGTAGGGGTTTCCAGGTCTCCAGGATCAGAATCAGGAACTGTGACTTGCCTGGCAGAGGTAGGCTGCTTGGGGAAATGGTGTTGTGGAGTCTCTGAGCACTCCTGCCCTCTCAAGCCCTCCTCGGGGAGTCTTAAGAGCCGGGACGAATGAGAACATGGGAGAGAGATGCAGGAGGTAGACATAGGCCAACGTGGAAAGACGACCACAACGGGCACAGCTTTGATGTCGTTGGCACTGGTAGGTGTTAGATCTGAAACGGGGATGGATAAAGTGGGAGCCACCGTGGCCCTCCTGCCCCCTCATCCTATGACAGTCTCAGGGCCTTGACTGCCCCTGCTTTCGGATGACATGGAGGTGCTGGCAGGGTGATGCAAGCCACAAGATTCCTGCCCATGGTGACGGCCGTCTCACGAGGACACAGAGCTCACAACCTAGTGTTCATCTGTCACCCGCTGGCTGTGGCAGCTTTCACAGGCTCTCGGCAGTTTTATGTTTCCCAAAGGTGACATTAGGACAGGGTGGTGACATTCCTCATCACGCTTTCCGTCCACAAGGTCCTGCTGGAGAGCATCAGTCCCAGGTTCTGTACTGTCCTAATGGACCCGGGGTCCTAATGACCAAGCCGATGACACTAGCTCTTCTACTGGTTATCTCCAGTGTGACCTGGTGACCTTTGCTCGGGGTGACATCACCAGTGTGACCTGGTGACCTTTGCTCGAGGTAACATCTCCAGTGTGACCTGGTAACCCTGCATTCAGGGTGACATCCCCAGTGTGACCTGGTGACCCTGCATTCAGGGTGACATCCTCAGTGTGACCTTTTCTCAGGGTGACATCTCCAGTGTGACCTGGTGACCTTTGCTCGGGGTGACATCTCCAGTGTGACCTGGTGACCTTTGCTCGGGGTGACATCTCCAGTGTGACCTGGTGACCTTTGCTCGGGGTGACATCTCCAGTGTGACCTGGTGACCTTTGCTCAGTGTGACATCCCCAGTGTGACCTGGTGACCTTTGCTCAGGGTGACATCCCAGTGTGACCTGGTGACCTTTGCTCAGGATGACATCCCCATGTGACCTGGTGACCTTTGCTCAGGGTGACATCCCCATGTGACCTGGTGACCTTTGCTCAGGGTGGCATCCCCAGTGTGACCTGGTGACCTTTGCTCAGGGTGGCATCCCCAGTGTGACCTGGTGACCTTTGCTCAGGGTGACATCCCAGTGTGACCTGGTGACCTTTGCTCAGTGTGACATCCCCAGTGTGACCTGGTAACCTTTGCTCAGGATGACATCCCCATGTGACCTGGTGACCCTGTATTCAGGGTGACATCCCCAGTGTGACCTGGTGACCTTTGCTCAGGGTGACATCCTGTTCTCTCCTATCTGTCCACAGACAAACAACCATCTTTGGAACTGTTGTCTGGGAGAGGGTCAGGTCAGACTCCAGGTGACTTTAACTGATGCCAGCCATAGTTCCAAGTCAGTAAGTGACAGGATACCTCCAGATGGTCCTTTTTCTTTTCTTTCTCTCTTTTTTTTTAAGCCCCAGTCTACAGCATTGGCCATGGTCAAGAACAGCTTTTAGAACCCATCCCAAGACAATCCATGGGTACTGGTGGTTGTACTGGCTGGTTTTGTTTTGTGTCAGCTTGACACAAGCTAGAGTCATCAGAGGAAGGAGCCTCAGCTGAAGAAATGCCTCCATGAGATCCAGCTGGAAGGCATTTTCTCAATTAAGTGATCAACGGGGGAGGGTCCAGCCCCTTGTGGATGAGGTCACCCCTGGACTGGTGGTCCTGGGTTCTATAAGAAAGCAGGCTGAACAAGCCAGGGGAAGCAAGCCAGTAAGCAGCACCCCTTCATGGCCTCTGCATCAACTCTTGCTTCCAGGTCAGGTTCCAGTCTTTCTTGAGTTCCTGTCCTGGCTTCTCTCAATGACGAACAGCAACGTGGAAGTATACACCAAACAAACCCTTTTCTCCCCAACTTGCTTTTTAGCCATGGTGTTTTGTTACCGTCATAGCAACCATAACCAAGACAGATGGGGCCATGCAGCTGGCATCACCCCGGGTTGGTTCTCTCCTCAGCCATAGCCATGACCTCCACCTTCCTTCTTCATGAGCACCATACACCCCCTGGCTCCCACACCCTGCTCCTCTGGCTGGCTCACAGCCTTCCCCATCTCTGCTGATCAGCGGGCATTCATCACGAGCAGTCTGCTGACACCTCCTAAGCTTTGTCTCATGTTTGTTATTTAACATTGCTTCCCGTGGGTTTGATTCCATCCCTTCCATTCATTCCTGGCTTCTTGAATGCAGGAACAAGTTCATTCTGGTCCCTCCAGTTTTGCCAAATCTGTGTACAGTTGTGGGCTCATGAGGGTTTGCTTAGGTGCCTGGAGGGGCTCTAATCCTCATCACTCCTGTCCTCCCAGAGCTAGCTCTTCCTGCAGGCGCCCACTGTGTATGTTCTTGGGGACTGTCTCACCCCGTTCACAACCAAGGACAGGTATATTTTTTTATCCACTGGCCAGATGGCAAAACCCAGGTGTACACGTGACCAAGGTCACACGGCTGGCAACCAACAAAGCAGGGAATGAGCCCTAATCTAGTCTTAGAGTTCTAGCCAGTACCTCCACATGATGTTGGCCAGATGTAAGGGGGCTCTTAGCAATCCTCACCTCCTGAGGGACGAGTTGGGGAAGGGGAAGCAAGGTCTCCCCAGGGCTGGGAATGAGCATAGCTGGACCTGGCCTGAGGGCTCCAAGTTGTACCCTCTTCCTGAACCTGCCCTCAGCTCAGGAGGCAGGGTCAAGCTGTGACTGAAGGCCAGGGAGGCTGGCTAGGCTGCCCTGTGGCTCATAAGGATTCTGTTAGGCTCAGCTACCGGAAGCTCATGACTATCTTACTATCACCTGGGCCTGGAGCCTCGTGAGAAATCAAATTGGCTGCCCTCCACAGACCATAATTAATGGTAGATTAGGCTGGCCAGGAGAGAAACAGGCAGAAGCTTGACCCAAGAGGCACATTTACTGTCTCATGCACCGCTAAACATTTTACCTCTGAACTAGGCGTACTGGGGTGAACTCCAGCAAAAAAAGTAGCTGAGAGCCCAGAGTCTATTTCTGTAGTTACACTGCCACCTGCTGGTCATTTAGGGCATAACAACACAATCCGATGTCGGCATCATAACGAAAACACCCAGCTACTAGCACGGATTCATTCATCCAACGTTTCTGCAGGGCAGGCAGCACTTGAAGGCTGGTCACCCAAGAATAAGCCCCCAAACACACAAGCCTGTCTTTAATAAGGTTACAGTTGAATGAGAGAAAGGCGATAATAAGTAAAAGGGTAACACACACGTCAAAGGGCGCTGGAGTCTCGAGCGCGAATCTAAAGCAGACAGGGAGGGCCTGTGGTGCTGCCACACAACCTCGCAGAGCCTGCAACCCTGAGGAGTAGCCAGAAGGTGGTGAGGAAAGAGTCGTGCTGATTTCTGAGCTGGCTCATCCCAGACTGAAGCCGGAGTGAGTCCTGCTTGGTAGATCTGGGAACCCAACAGGGAGGGGCTGAGAAGGGCAGGACCAGAAGGGTGACTTCAAAAGCCTGAGGCTTTATTGCTGGCTCAGAAGGGAACAAAACCCAACATTATCAGCCACCTCCCGCTGCCCGCTGCCCGTGCGCTGGTGGGGAACCGACCCAGAGACTTGGGCATACTAGATGGGGTTCCCATCATTGGTCTCCTAGCTTGTACTCTTTGACATGCTATTCTGGTTGAGAACAGCCTGTGGGTCAAGGAGGAATTGGAGGGGGGGGGGGGGGTCTGTTAGTGAAGCAACAACTAAACAGGAACCCAGGCAGCAGAAAGAGGTAAGGGGGCTCTCAGGGGCATGAGAGGGAACTCAGAAATGACTTCACAGTCATAACTACAGAGAGAATGTGTTGCCCTGCACTGAAACACAGACTGGCTGGCTCGAGGAGATAAGTGGGGACCTCCATTTGGGATCTGTGGGGCCAAAGTTCCTTGTCAGATGTCTATGGGTAGCAGAGCCTGGAATCGGGGTGGCCTGCCTGGAGTCACGCTCTGAGAGCCAACAGCACGTGAATGACATTTAAACCCTGGGACTGAGAGAGAGCCCAGCCCTGAGGAAAAACTGTCTGGACACCAGGGCCTCAAGGTTAGAAAATACGAGAAACAGGAAAGGAGATGCCAGAGGGTGGTGAGGGGAACCAGGCGGGCTGTGCCTCGACCCCAAGTCAGGAAAGAGAAGGGCGTTCCTGAGCCTTGCTCAGACCTGAGAAGAGCTTCCTGGGACCACAGGGATAGGGGCGCCCGAGTGGCCCCAGTTAAAAACACAAGAAATAGACAAGTGCCCACAGCATGGGGAGGGACAGCAAGCCCCTGCTGAACTGTTGGTGAGATGGGAAAGAAGCAGCCACTTTGGGGGAGAACTTGGTACTTCCTCGGAAGAGTAAACATGGGGTCCACAGCTCAGGATTCCTGCTCCCTGTAGGCTCCAAAGAGGAAAGCAGACTTTGTCCCAAACACTGTAACAGGGAACAAATCGCTCGCCCGCTGTTCCTTCTGTGTGCTGCCTGCTGGTTTCCTGATTTTACTTGACTAGAGGTAGCATCTCGGATGTATGAGTCACCCGTTCACCTTTCACCCCAAGTCCTGGTCTTGGAGACGGGTATTTGAGAGTTGGGCCTCCTGTCTCCTTGTGTTTGACTGTTTTTCTCCTTTTCAGAAACTTGTTTCTGTGATTGGTGTATTACATACAGGGCTGGCTTAGTAAAGGACACAACCCAAATGTCTGTCACCAAAGAGCAGATGAACAAAGTGTGGCATGTGCACACAGTGGAAGAGTGTTCAGCCGCAAAAAGGAACAAAGTGCCCCTTCAGATTACCGCATGGACAATAGCCCGAGAGAAAGAAGCCAGTCATGGCAGACCGCAGATGGTGTGATGTCACTGATAAGAAATGTCGAGAAGAGATTAATCTGTAAGTACTGACCTTCTCTACAAACAGCAGGTGTGTGGTGGCCGGGGCTTGAGGCAGGGTGGCTGCTAACGCTTCAGGGTTCCGTACGCAGATGACGAAAGTGTTCAAGAATTAGGGGGTGCTGAGGGTTGCATAGCTCTGTGAATATGCTCCCAGAGACTCAAATACACTGTTTTAAAGGTGATATTTCGGGGTGTGTCGCATGTGAATAATACATTGTTTTAAGGGTTTGGTTGTGTGAAGTGGAAGGTAGCCTCAGCACGGGTAGGAGGCAGAGTACGGGAGCCCAGAGTTCTTTGTGCTGGTGGATAAGTGCTAGGGAACTTGGAACATTACACACACAGGGTCGTTCCTCCAAGGGAAGGATTGCAAGGCCTGTTATCTGCCCAGAAGGCTGGGAGTGTGTGTGCTTACTAGCCTGGTGACCTTTGTGCCACCCACGTGGCAGAGACTTTTCCAGCAACCGATCCTCCCCTTCAGATTCTTATTGCAAGCGTGTTTTTCTCAATCTATAGACTCCATCTTTATGGGTGTTTCAATGAGTTTCAGTGAAGTCACATGTGATCTGGATTAGTTTGTCCCTCCAGGAGATTTCCGTCTGCTTGGTTGTACACTCAGGGCTGAGTTAATCATCACCAGAATAATTTTCGCCAAATTGCGCCGCGCTTAAATATGTCTAAAATAACTACTCAGGGCCAGACTCCCGCAGTTTGAACCAACACTGGCTCCTGAGTCATGCTGAACCAAACTGCGTTCTTGTCCCCTGCAGGCCTATGAAGGTCACAGAGACCCCCATAGCAGAGGACGTGGGCGCCATTGAAGAGAGGGAGCAGGTGTGGTGGAGGGACTGTAGTCTGGATGATGCTGGTTCCTCTGGCTGTGACGGGGAGGGCACAAAACAGGAAACCGGCGCTGGAGAGAAAGCTCTGTGCCCTTGAGAACAGCTGGTGGGCAAACCATTTCCAACAGCTGTGAGTGGCGTTCACTGGAGATATAAGGGTGCCTGAGCCTGAGTGGGAAGAGAAAGGGAGCTTCAGCCATGGAAACTCACTCCAGAACTCCAGCAGACTGCCTCGACTTCCCTAATCTGCTTCTGCTAGGTGTTGTCTGCATTCAGCTTGATGATGTCATCTCTCTGTGTTGCTATTTCTTCTTTTCCTTTGGCATCTCATCCTAGGTGACCCTCTGCTCTGCCCAGAACTCTATCAGGAACTCCAGCTGACTGCCTTAAAGGCTCTTCTCCAATACGTTTCTGCTGGGTGTGTTGAGCACCAATTTCCTGATGTCTGTTTGTCTTTATGTCTATCTATTGCTCTCATTTGCCACTTATTCTTTTACTTCAGCTTGCTGTATACATAATAGGCTCATTCACAATCAGAAGTGTGGCTATTGTAGCTCCTTCTCCAGACCACACAGAACATCACATAAATGAGCTAGGCTTGGTCTCTCTCTCTCTCTCTCTCTCTCTCTCTCTCTTTCTCACACACACACACACACACACACACACACACACACGGAGGAAGGGAGCAATCTGCCAAGCCCAGGTGGGGAAATATGGCTGGGTCCACACCATATACGTGCACAATCACACGTTTATTCAGGAGCACATTCATGCAGACGCAATTACATACATACAGACCTTCACAAACACACATGCATGCCTAGACACACGTAGAAAAACGTCTACTCATGTGCTCACATGCATTCACAGGCACGTAACACAAATGCACAAGCACACACAGGTACAAACACACGTACCTCCCCTCCTAAACCTGTGATAGCTCGCGGGCTAGCCTGTGATATTGTTGGAAAGTGATCTCAAGGAGACTGGGCAGGGATGGAGCCCTGCACCCCATGTGAGCCACCAAAGGGGAAGAGCCAGTTGGCCCTAGAGGGCTTTAAGGCCTGGGAATGCTGGGAAGATGAGGGGCCTCACCTGCTGGGCCTGGGAACTGGGAGGAGGGGGAGGCAGTGAGCTGGGTCTTAGAACTGGGTAGCTTCAGGGAGTGGGTGGGAGTTGTCATGTGCAGAGACAGTGAGAGACGGGTGACAAGGCTGTGTCTTTTCTCCACTGTCCCTCCCCTCCTGGGAGGAGTTGGGGAAGAGGGGGGTCTGGAGGAAAGGGCTCAGTCAGTAAAGTTCCCACTGCATAAGGATAAGGAGCTTAGTCACAGTTTCCAGAACCCACATAAACAAGCCAAACATGGCTGCACATGACTGTGACCCCAGCACTGAGGAAGTGGGGATAGGTCGGTCCCTGGAGCTCCTTACCTAGTCAGTCTAGTGGAGTGCATGAATATCAGGCCCAGTGAGAGACCAGCCTCAAAGAAAGCGGATGGTGTCCTGAGGATGGCCCTCCACACACATGAGCATGCATGTACTTCTCTCTCACGCATACATATGCATATACAAACACGTAAAATGAGAAGGATTTAGCTGGTGGGGTGTTTACTTGCACAAAGCCCCCAGTTTGATTCCCGGCCCTGAATAAACAGGATGGTACATGGCTGTAATCTCATTCTCAGGACGTAGAGGCAGGGGCTCATCTTCAGTCACAAACAGAGTGTGCAGCCAGCCTGCCCTGCCGCAGAAACCAAAAACAAAAAGGTGATCTGATCATATGCTAGTATGCTAGCCCATGTAAGGAGGAAGATTTCTACAGGTCCAAGGTTGGGAAAAGGCAAAAATGACATAAATATATAATTTTCCTTCATTTTTATGCAAAAGCAACATATATGTGTGTGGTGTTTAATTTCATTTATCCCCATAGGGCATTCATGAGCTGGTCTTTGTACAAGCCAATGAGGCTTTTCCAGAAAACCTGCCCTGAATGTAGATGGCACCAGCTCCTGGGGCTCCAGAGTGGCAGGGGAGTGGGGGACACCTAATGAGGGCAGACAGCCCCTGTGCCCAGTTCCCTGCTGCCTTGGAGTCACCTGCCACCCTGCCTCCCCAGCTACAGTGAACCGTACCCTTACACTATAAGCCAAAACTTGCCTCTTCCTCTGTCAAACTGCTTTCGTTCAGGCTTTTGGTCACTGCAACCTGGAGAGTAAACAAGACAAAATTAAGTTATTAAAACCCAGTATACAAAAGTCCTAAACAGGATACAGTTTAAATTATTAACAGTTTAATTTCTCAGCATGGGTGGAGTAGGCTAAAGGCATAGACAGGGTGTGTGTGTGTGTGTGTGTGTGTGTGTGTGTGTGTACGCATGCGCGAGTGTGTATGTGTGTGTGTGAGTGTGTGCGTGTGCATGTGTGTGTACGCATGCGCGAGTGTGTGTGTGTGTGAGTGTGTGCGTGTGCATGTGTGTGTATGCATGCGCGAGTGTGTATGTGTGTGTGAGTGTGTGCGTGTGCAGTGTGTGTGTGTGCACGCATGCGCAAGTGTGTCTGTGTATGTGTGCGTGTGAGTGTGTGCGTGTGCAGTGTGTGTGTGTGCACGCATGCGCAAGTGTGTCTGTGTATGTGTGCGTGTGAGTGTGTGCGTGTGCATGTGTGTGTGTGTGTGCACGCTGCGTGTGTGCTGTGTTGCTGTCCTTTAAATGTGTACCATGGAGCAGATAACATGTAAGTGACAAGGAAAGAACTTGTCAAACCCTCCTCAGCTCCAGCCTTCCCAGGTCACAACGCCCTGCGTAGCCACCATCCTCCACAGCCCTGACAACTCTGTCCCTGCACCTCAACACAGCATTGGGAAAGCAGGTGGCATCCATGTGGCTGCGTATGGCTCCGTGTGGTGTGGCCTACCAGGAAAGATGGAGATGGCTCTGAGCACTGTCCCCAGGAGTACGGATAGCCAGGCCAGCTGGAAGGCGGTCCTCCTTTAGGTCTTCTTTGCTGACCCTGGAAAGTTCTGGGTCAGTCTGGGGACAAAAGAACAAGTAGGAGGATGGAGGGAAAGGGTCGAGGAATGCCCCCCATGCCCAAGGAACACCCCCCCATGCCCAGTTCCCAGGACAGCCATGTGTCAAGCAACTCAACATGCAGGCTCACCCTACCCTCAGAAGGGCCCACAAGGCATTATGAAGCCCATTCTTCACCCCCATTGAGAAGTCTGAGGCCCACAGAGGCCAGCAGAGGGCCACAACCCCTGCCAGGACCTGACCTCACTCCCCAAGTCCACAGTCCATGCTCTCCGCACCCTGCCCCGCTTAACTCCTGCTGAGGAAACAGAATCCTAAGTGGGAACTCCGTGACCCCCAGCCCTTCCCTGCCTCACTCCCTGGCTTGTGACTGTGGGGTCCCTGGGGGGCTCCCTACCAGCAGGTTCACCATCCACGCCTGTGTCCAACCCGAACGCCACTACCCAAGGATGCAGCCCTTCCTTTCATCCTCTGCATGTCCCCCACTGGGTCACACACCAGACCTCACTCTCCATCTTGGAAGGAGGGAAGAACGTGATTCAGACAACACAGAGGCTGTGCCTCTTCCTCCTACACCATGGGTCCCCACCCCCTGGCCCCCGTACGTGCCCTCTGCCCTCCCTTGGGTGCATCTGGAGTATCAGGGCCCTGAAGCCCCATCAGTATACGAGGGCATCTCATGGTCCCTAGAACAGCCAGGAGACCTAGAACCTGGAGGCCACCCCTCCCCCTGCCCCAGGAGACACATTCACTGCCCACACCCCAAGAGGACCCAGGTTACAAGTGTCCCAGCCTGGCGACTGCATCTAGTTTGGAGCCACCAGATGGGGAAGACAAATGACGAACAACCATCCATCCCTTCTCCCCACACCTCCAGCTCCTGTCTCTGGGATATAAGAAACTTTCCAGAAATTTTGGAATGCTCCTGGCACAAAAATTCTGGGGAATTAAAGACAGAATAGAAAAGTCAGGGAGGTACAGTGGAGAAAAGACATTGCCGGACCCATGTCACCCGTCTCTCACTGTCTCTGCACATGACAACTCCCACCCACTCCCTGAAGCCACCCAGTTCTAAGACCCAGCTCACTGCCTCCCCCTCCTCCCAGTTCCCAGGCCCAGCAGGTGAGGCCCCTCATCTTCCCAGCATTCCCAGGCCCTAAAGCCCTCTAGGGCCAACTGGCTCTTCCCCTTTGGTGGCTCACATGGGGTGCAGGGCTCCATCCCTGCCCAGTCTCCTTGAGATCACTTTCCAACAATATCACAGGCTAGCCTGCGAGCTATCACAGGTTTAGGAGGGGAGGTCTGTGTGTTTGTACCTGTGTGTGCGTGTGCATTTGTGTTACGTGTCTGTGAATGCATGTGAGCACATGAGTAGACGTTTTTCTACGCGTGTCTAGGCATGCATGTGTGTTTGTGAAGGTCTGTATGTATGTAATTGCGTCTGCATGAATGTGCTCCTGAATAAACGTGTGATTGTGCACGTATATGGTGTGGACCCAGCCATATTTCCCCACCTGGGCTTGACAGATTGATCTCCACTCCATGCCAGTCACAGCAGGAAGAGGTTGCCCAGGTGCCTTCTGGGACTGGGTAGAGAGCAGCCCCTAAGGACAAACAGAGCATTGCTCAGGCCCCACCTCCTGTACATCATGCCCAGGCTATTCAGGCCCACTTGCTAGGAAGGCCTTGCTAAGGCTAGGGTTCCCCCAGGCCTGTCTCAACTCCTTTCTGCCCCGAGCTGACTGCATTCTGGCCTCGCTGTTCCCCATCCTTCTCCTGGTATTTCAGTACCTCTTGGGCTCAAATCTGCAGTAAAGAAAGCTCTTGGACACCAGCCACTGTGGCTGCTTCCACTCTGTGACACAGCTCAGCTTTTCTACCTGAAGCAGGGAGCCTCCAAAGCTGGCCCTGATGTCATTAACTGCCGGGTTCCCCAAGTACTTGTGCTTCCAAGTGCCACCCTAA